ATTCTTAGTGTGAGCGTCCTGATCACTCAGGCTGCAGCCTCAAAGGGGATAGTGTCACTCAAGCCCATTACTTTTCTTTTGTCTTGCTTTATGACCAGTGGGTGAGTAAATTTGCTCCACCAATAGTCCTGCCAGGATGTACTGCTTTTCCCAAAGCAAAAGAATCAAATAATCATGGACTAAAGCCTTATGAACTGTGACTCTCCCCAAGTAAACCTTTTCTCCTTATAAATAGATTATCTCAAGTATTTGTTATATAATCAAGAGAAGAACGATATAAGAGGCACTTCAACAGATTTAACTGGGTTAACAAGAAAGATATGGCTCAATTAGTTTTTGGTGATAACTTTTGCTAAAACACTGAATTAATACTACTCTCTTACACTCATGACTACACAATGATGGTAAGTCTCATTGGACTATCTCTTGCTGGTTTTTCCTGTAACCCCAACACCTGGGCCCCTCATCTGGCCTTCAGTCTCCTCTGATGAACTCAATCCAAGATGGCTATATTGTGGGATTAGCTAAATGTTAAACAAATCATCCTGCCTTATCAGCCAACTTCTGGACAATGTAAACCTAGTGACAATCATGACATTTTTGTAAAATTCCCCCAAATTAGGCAATGTGGTTACTATGGAAACCTGTAATGCATTAAAAAAAATCCAGAAAGCAGACTCATCATTGACATTATCTGACCTTGTATTGGATTGTCATCTTCCACCTGAAAGTAAATCTCAGTGTTCTGATTCTTGATCTCTGTTTCTCACTGATTCTGCCATAACATCTTGAAAAATGAGGGATAAATTGTTGTATCTATCCCCTCCATAACCAAAACAGAGATAATTCATTCTTTCTTTGAGCATGTTATTCTGTCCCATTTACTGAGTTATTCATAAACCTACTAGTTTTCACTGGACCCAGAACAAGAGAATGCTCTATAATTGGTCAAGGGTTCTATGAAGCTGCTTTGCAACTTGGGCAGATTTAATAGTACTTAAGGAATCAGCGATAGATAGGAATATTGTATAAACTTATGGAAGTTCCCCTAAGTGTATCACAGAATAGGTCCTTAGTACAGGATTCTAGCATTATATTTAAACATCTTCTCTCTGAGAAACAGCTCCTAACCTGATTCTGGACCTTTTTGAAAATTGAACAGTTGACTATTGAACACCATTGTTGACATGCAACCTGAGCTACCCATGAACTGACTGGTTTTCATCCTCAAAGTCATAAATTTGGATACAAGTAGAAATAGTCCATTGTCAAGTGGAAGGAATATACTGTTATCAGGCTATTATGGTTTGGATCTAGATGTCTCATCACAACTTCACACAGTGACAGGTGGGGCTTCTTCAGAGAAAACTTGATCTAGAATTTGTGATGCTGGGGTTGAAGGTGTGTGAATACTAAACAGTGTACTGATTTGTTTGGAACTGCTGTAACCACAACAGCCTAGATACAATATAAAAGGGGCAGAGAGATTCTGTTAATGTCCCTTGTTGCTTTGCAACCTTGTGGACCCCATGAAATACTCTCTGTGAGACATCCCTCTGCCATGTGCCTGTCTGCCTTGGAGCCAGCCAGCTGTGAACTGAAACCTCCATAAACTGTGAATTAAATAAACATCCCATCCCCCCCCCATGTAAACACACATGCTTTACCATTGAGTGTTGGGTATTTTATCTCAGAAATGAAAAAAAAAAACTGACAAATAACCCCAAGCATGTCTTAGAGGTTTAAATATGCTACAGAAAGAAGTGGCCCAGTTGCCATGGTTCCTACTCATGTTATACTACTTTTAGTCCCGATGTATGCTTCCCTTGGTTCATGGATGTATGATCAGTTGGAAGAGGAAGACAAGACTAGAGCATAGTTTACAGATGGTTTTTCACATTACGTAGTACTATAACTCTTTTCTATTACATCTCTGAAGGACAGTAATTAAGGGAACTTTTCAGGGTAACCAGAACTTCAGGCAATGCATTTGGTTCTATATTTGTTTGGAAAAAAAATATAGATGTATAAACATACATTCATTCTTAGACCATGGCCAATAGTCTGACTGGATTGTGGGGATTTGAAAGGAAAATGACTCAAAAAACAATTTAAAAAGACATTTGATTAAGGGTTATGTAGATACACATTCCCATATGATGTGAAGGATGTTGAGTTTTTGTGTGCCACATAAGTGCCTTCCAAAACGAAACTCCACCAGGAGAGGACTTTAATAATCAAATGGATAGGTTGACTTGCTGAATGGATAACACTCAATTGTTTTCCTCAGCTACCACTGCTTTTGCCCAATTGACCCATGAACAAAGTGGCTTTAGTGGCAGGGATAGGGGTTATGCATGAACTCAGCAACTTTTATTCACCAAGTGAAAGGTGGCTACAGCCACTGATAAGTGCCTAATCTGCTAAATGTAGACAGCAACACAGATCCCTTCATGTGACATTTTCTAAGGTGATTATCCTATAATCTGGTGAAAGATTGGATATACTGGGCCACTCCCCACCATAGGAAGTATAGCACTTCATCCTTATTGGAGTAGCCACTTATGCTAGGTATTTATTTGTCTTTTCTACATGTAGTAGTTCTGCCAAAACTACCATCTTTCATCTTACAGAATGCTTCATCAATCATCGTGGCATTCTCTATAATAAATCCCCTAACCCAGCCTCAGGGTTCAGAATTTGCAATGTCGAACTCCCCTGGGCATGCTGTCATAATAAAGATCTCCTTCTACTTGTCTGAATGCCATTGAATGGTTTCCTGTGTCACCAGTAACTCTGACTTTGCTGTAACTCTTGGTTAAAATCTAAAGTTGTGGTAATATTAAACTCCTGGTGATCTTCCCAGTCTTTGACTTGGGCTAGCATTACATTCTTGATCCTTCCTGTTCTCTGGCTTCAAACTTATTGGACTGAGAAGCTACTGGATATGGTAGATCTTCAGCATGAACATGGCCATTGTGGATCCTCATGCCTTTGATGCCACACATCACCATTGTGGAATCTCTCCCATCTCTGACACTGTAAGCCTACCTAGAAAATCCCCTTATATTAGTGTACATTCTTTTCTTTTGACTGTGTTACTCTAGAAAATCTGAGTTAGTGTAAAGTTACACATTGCTTTAATATAGTACATTCTTTGACTATCTGTACTTTACCCCAAATAATGAAGCAGCAGTGAGGTATGAGTGTCGTGTCAAGTAAAAAAAATCTGAATGTGTTTAACTGCAACTTTAGAGAGTCAATAATGTCAGTCTCTGATACTTCTATGGCTCATTTTTAGTAATTTTATTTATCAATAATTGCTATGATTGAAAATTACTGTGATAATAAATTTTGGAAAGTAGATCTCTACATTTATTTGTACCTATAGAACACTTGTACAAGGTATTTTTTGTTAAGTGTAAGCCATTGTTCCTCTTTGAAAGTCAAGAAATTACCATTCTTAATCCTCTTGCCATTTTCTTACTATAATTTTCATTTTACAATAATAGCGTATCAAAGCCATTCCTCCATGAAAACTATAACAAGGTGTTAGATGAAAATGTACATCTCTGTTTTCCAGTAATATTTACTCTCTCACACTTGACTGGTCACCACCACAAGGAGTCACTTCCTGAGAAAGGTCTGAATTTCTTTCTAAGCATATCCCTGTGCAGCTGTATGTGTGATAACTGCTACCCCCACCCCAGCAGTGAACCTTTGTCAAAACAACAGGGATACTTGGATCAATGCAGTCAAGAATATGAAGACATCTCGCTTTTAGTAGGTGATCACAAGATACTAGAACATCTTTTAATAAAAGGTCCATTCATTCTTCTCAAAGAATCCTGACCAATCTTCTCTAAAATATATGCATAGAATTCCTTATCTCATAAAGTTAAAGACCTTCTATAGGACAGAGAAGTCTTGCTGTAAAAATAAAGTTTTAAACATAATATAGGTATTTTTTTCTACTATTCTATTCCTCACTTGATTCCTCAGTTTATCTACAATATGATACAAAATAAATTTCTACGTTTTTGCCTTCAGTTTCATTATGCACCAGTCTCCTTTCACTTCCATTAATTTTAAGTCAATGCCTCTGAATATTGGACTAGGATTTGTGCCTTATAAAAACCACTAATTTTATTGTTAGACAAAATCATTTAGATATTTTTTTCTTCTCTTTTTGTGCTGCCACGTGGTTAAATATTTATGTTTAAATGCCTGGAGAAAAATAAAAACAAAATTACTATAGTTTGACATCTCAAAATTATATGAAATGAAAATTTCACTGTCCATAAATAAAATTGATAGGTTCTGGTCCTAGAATGAATTGCTAAATCATTATTATGGTCATTTAGCATGGCTGAAGCCCCAAACCAACAGTTCTTCTTCCCAATGACCACTGCCTCCTTCTTCCCCACTCCAGTCCAGATACCTTAGCTTTATAGACAGGGGAGAGGTCAGAGGATCTCCCACTTCCCTAGGGTTCTCTCCAAGTCTTTAGAGTCAATAAAAGTTTTTTTAATCTTTCCTCTCTCTTTATTGCTCTGCCAAAAAACCTAACACAAATATAATTGGAACTCAGGTAATATCATTTATTGCATATTACCTATAATAGTTTTTGCATTTTGGTGCATCAGAACTGATAATTTGTGACAAAGACTTTCTAGTTCAGAAACCTGAAAATTTATATCATCTGGGACTTTGCAGAAATGTTTGCCAAGCCTCTATTCTAGAATTCCAGTCCTTATCATCATGGCTACTCCAAACCCAGTTCAACAAAACACATATATCTCTTTGCTTGATGTTCAGAATATAAAAATCTTATATATATTTAAAAACAAAACACTATTCCATTATATTTTCTTGGATTGTGGATTGAATAACGATTCCTGATTCTACAGCCACATGATGGTTCCTGTTGTCTTAAAATAATGCATCCTTTCGACAAGCTAAACACCAAGGCATGATAAAGACTGCTAGAACAGGCAGGGTTGAAGAAAACAGTGATATCTTTATTTCAGACCCCGTGTGGTCAGACCAAGAGCAGAAAGATCATTGGCACCAAACAAAGGAAGAGGGTTTGCTTTTATAGGTAGTTGATGCACTGCTTTGGTGCTGAATAGTTTAGGGCAAGTATAGCTGTATGTCTGTATGTTTATTTCTATATTATAGGACTTTCAGTACACACTTCATGGAGTAGAAACTATTGTTTTTTTCAAAAATCAAGACTTTAAGTCTCTCATCCACCCTGATATTTTCTTACAATAACTTCCTTTTTATAATAAACAGAACAACCATTCATCTGTGACAATCAAGAGAAGGTGCAGAAAATATTTATTGCTCCACTTCCCAACTATCTCAAGTCTTCTCAGAGAAGACTGGTCTCCCCTGGAATGAGGTGCTTCCTGAGAAACTTCTGGATCTCCTTCCAAGCATGTTCCTGTGCAGCTGCATGTGGAATAACTTCTCCTCCCCAGTGAATGGCTGGCACCACATAAGGGATCCTAGATGCACAGCATAGTGGAGAATAGGGAGGTTCTATCAGATGGCCCGCCCCGGGATAAGACAGAAGCATCCAATTTTTCTTCCCATTTCTCCTCAGCTGTTCAGTAGCTTGTGCAGCATGTACTTTGCTGTTGAGATTCTTGTCTTCTTCTCCCACAATGAAGAGGAAATGTCCCTGGGCCTTCTCAATAGGAAGGAAAAACTGGCTATTCTCATTTTTATTCTCTGTATAAACCTGATAAAACTCTGCTAACCCCATGGCATTGATGTGTTTATACTCTATAGCGCAAACTGCAGGCTGAATGACCTGACCATGGTATATTTGTGGTGCACTAATAACGAAATTAGGCCCATTAATAAGCACTGCGGCTGTGATTTGTTTTAGATGAATAGCCATGGATAGTCCAATCTCTGCTCCTTTGCATACAGAGACTATCCCAACGCCTGGACCCAAGACCTGAAAACAATGGAAAGGCAATGTTATTCTATCTTGCAGTTAAAAGAAAAATCCAGTTTCAGAACATAAATGAACTCTAATTACAGAAAGAAGAAAGGTAGGAAGGAAGGAAAGAAGGAAGGAAGGAAGGAAGGAAGGAAGGAAGGAAGGAAGGAAGGAAGGAAGGAAGGAAGGGCGGGCAAAGGAAGGGAAGGGAAGGAAAGGAAGGGAAGGGAAGGGAAAGGAAGGGAAGGGAAGGGAAGGAAAGAGTAAGGAGGGAAGGAAGGAAGGAAGGAAGGAAGGAAGGAAGGAAGGAAGGAAGGAAGGAAGGGAGAAAAACCCTACCATGCCCTTTTTTTTATATGTCATAGAGTACTGTGGTATTGTACATTCAAAGGAAATACTTTTTGGAAAATTTGTCAGGCTTTGATAACTCAATAACATGGATTAAGTGATGTAGTTGATTTTTTTCAGTTTTAAATGCCCTGAGGAAATGCTGTGATAAAACAAGTAACATGTAGGTATTATTGTAAATACTATGAATCAGGGAATCATAGATTAGTAAACTTTGTTGCACGAATTCTTCTCTCTACAAATTCAGAAGGAAGTGCAAAAGGTGAAACCAGGATGTTCCTAATGGATTCACCACATGAAGAACATGTGCAAAAACTGAGACAGCAAACATCAGTGCATTTAGGGAAACCCTGATAGCTCTTCATACTTGAATTTGAAAGGTAAATTGGGAAGCAGCAAAATAAGGTGGAAAAGAAAATGTTACCATGATAATGAACATTGTTGAAAGATGTATCAAAAAATCTTGGCTCTTCCTAATTAAAGAGCAGCATTACAGCAGAATCAAAAGATGGTAAAAAATAACACTGGAGAATTATATATAATAATATGTAGTAGTCAGGTCATAATATACTTTTATATAATAGGCAAGAAAGCCTGCCTTGTATCCTTTAGCAGAAGAGCAGATCCTGCACAAGCCAGCAAAAGAGTTATTCCCCATAAAGACCAAATGTCCATCTCTTACCAGAAAAAATCAAAACAGAATGCCAGAATTTAATGCAATAGGACAGGCCAAAGAGTTATGGAATCCTGAGAGAAAGAAGCATAAATCAAGTGAAGGGAAAGGGAAGTAACATGCTTATGAGTACAGACTAAACATTTCCCAGTCACCAGGTATGTTTGGGAGTGCAAAGCAGAAGTTAATGGTGACTATTGTTTATGGCCCAAAATGCAGTGAAAAATGATTATCTTGTGTCTTGACTGCTTGCAAGGACCAAGGTTCAGACTTCTTTTCTCATGTCTTTACTCTTCTCACATACTTTGCATAATTGGTCTTCAATCTTTTAAAGTCATTTTACTGACAAATGCATCATGGTTATTTTCTTAATATTTAGGAAAAAATGACTGAATATACCATTTCTACCTGATGGACAGATATGTGAAAAGCAATTAGGATGAGGGGATAGAAATCTCAGGAAATATAATCAATCATATATGCTATTTCCCTCATAAATGTTGCAAGAGATGGTTCGTATCAATGAATATATTTGAAATTATTTTCTAAGTCTTAATTTTAATTGACATATTATA